ACCGAGGCTGGAGAATCATTTTAGCCAAATTCAAGACCAGCCTGTTTCTAAAAAATAAAAATAAAAAAAATGAGCTGGGCATAGTAGCATGGTATGGTCCCACAGTCTTCCTGTACTCAGGAGGCTGCAGTGGGAGGATCTAGGAGGATCACTTGAGCACCCAGGAGGTTGAGACTGCAATGGCCTATGATCTCATCACTGCACTCCAGCCTGAGTGACAGAGCGAGACCCTATCTTTAAAAAAATATTTTTAAAAAGCTGAGCACAGTGTCTCATGTCTTTAATCCTAGTACTTTGGAGGCCAAGGTGAGCAGATCAGTTTAGGTCAGGGGTTTGAGACCAGCCTGACCAATGTGGCAAAACTCCGTCTCTACAAAAAATAGCCAGGCGTGGTGGTGGATGCCTGTAATCCCAGCTGCTCCGGAGGCTGAGGCAGGAGAATTGCTTGAACTTGGGAGGTGGGAGTTGCAGTGAGCTGACATGACCCCACAGCACTCTAGCCTGGGTTACAGAGCGAGACTCCATCTCAAAAAAACAAAAGAACAAAACAAAAAAATCTAGGAGATGTTTCAAGAGAAGAAATAACAGGATTTAATGTTAGATGTGACACTGTTTAGCCAGAGTATTTCAGGGCTTTGAGGCCAAGGAAATACTGATGCCATTAACAGAAATGAGTAAGTTACAAATTTTCTAATTGGGGAAACTAAGAGGCTGAATGCTAAAACCACAGGAAAAAGTTTGACTAAAAATACTGTGGATAGTTTGGAATCTTTGCCCACTACTGTATCAAGTAAACAATAAAGTGCTGAACTCATTTCTTTCAAGGTAACTTCTCTTGCATATTCCTCAGCAAGAAAGAGCCTTAACATTGAGAAACATGAGTCGCTCTGAGACTTTATTGCTCTAGGCAGTTCCTACCTCATGATCTCCCTTAAAAAAAGGGTAATGGCCCAGCTTAGTGGCTCATGTCTGTAATCCCACCACTTTGGGAGGCTGAGATGGGAGGATCACTTGAGCCCAGGAATTCAAAACCAGTGTGAACAACACAGCAAAACTATCTCTACAAAAAGTTTTTTAAAAAATTAGCTGGGTATGTTGGTGCACACCTGTAGTCCCAACTACTCCAAAGACTGAGGTGGGAGGATCCCTTGAGCCAGAGAGGTTAAGGCTGCAGTGAGCCATAATCAAGCTAGGGCACTATAGCCTGGGTGACAGTAAGACCCTGTGCTGGAGAGGGAAAAAAAGAGCAGTGGGTCTGATTATGATCTTTGTGACAAACACTAGATCCCATTACCATAGACTTTCTAAATTGGTTACAGTAAACCTTAATTTTATTTGTGCCTCATAAGAATACTGTGACCCTGGCTGGGCGTGGTGGCTCACGCCTGTAATCCCAGCACTTTGGGAGGCTGAGGCGGGTGTATCACGAGGTCAAGAGATCGAGACCATCCTGGTCAACAAGGTGAAACCCTGTCTCTACTAAAAATACAAAAGTTAGTGGGGCATGGTGGTGCGTGCCTGTAGTCCCAGCTACTCTTAGGAGGCTGAGGCAGGAGAATTGCCTGAACCCAGGAGGCGGAGGTTGCGGTAAGCCGAGATCGTGCCATTGTACTCCAGTCTGTGTAACAACAACGAAACTCCGTCTCAAAAAAAAAAACGAAGAAGAAGAATACTGTGGCCCTATAAATCATAGATTCAAGTGAGAATTTTCACATCTAAATTGTAAGACCCTCATGTACTGAAACCTTGCATATGGTTTTCTTTTTTGAGTTTTTATTAGTATATATCACAGGAAATTTTACCTGAAAATTTTAAGTTTATTGGTGTCTAGTTATTATTGATTTAAGAAGTATTTTTTTTCATTGACTTATTTCAGGGAAAAAATATTTGTTGAATTACTTTCTGGTTTTTTGAGACAGGGTCTCTCTGACACCCAGACTGAAGTGCAGTGATGCGATCTTGGCTCACCTCAGCCTCTTAAGTAGCTGGGATAACAGGCGTGTGCTAATTTTTGTGGGTTTTTTGTTCATTTTGTTTGTTTTTTTTATTTTTTTTTAACATGGGGTTTCACCATGTTGGTCAGGCTGGTCTTGAACTCCCAAACTCAGGTGATCCGCCCACCTTGGCCTCCAAAGTGTTTGGATTACAGGCGTGAGCCACCACACCCCACCTGTTTTTTTTTTAAACAGAGTTGGGGTTTTGCCATGTTGCCCAGGCTGGTTTTGAATTCCTGGGCTCAAGTGATCCATCCACCTCAGCTTCACAAAGTACTGGATTGCAGGTGTGAGCTAGTGCACCTGGCCTTTTTAAAAATTTTTTAATTTTTTTTATTTTTGGAAGCCGATCTCAAACTCCTGGGGTTCAAGTGATCGCCTGTGCTGGCCTCCCAAAGTGCAGGGATTACAGATGTGAGCCATCTTATCTGTCCTGGGCATTTTAAAAGTAGGGATCATACTGTATATAACTTGCCTTTTGAAAAATAAACATTTTCCCATTGTGTTAAGCAACGGTTATTTGCATGTAACAGAATATGCTGCTCATACTGGGCCTATACAATCAAGTTATGTGTGTATTGGCTCACATAATCAAAAAGTTGAAAGGTAGTATAGAGATCAGATGAGATTTGGTCAGGGCTCAAGCTTACCATCTCCATGATTTTTTTCAAGTTCTGCCTTGAAGTAGCATTTGTAATGGCTGCAGGGTATTTCATTATATGAATGCACTATATTTATTTAACTTTTCTACTGCACATTTTAGGATGTTTTCTTTCCACCTCCCACTAATAAAATAATGCTTAGGTAAATGTCCTTGTTATATTTACATGTGCTTTAAAGGAAGAATAAGAATTGGTATATGATTAGGGACGACTGTGAAAGACAGGAAAGAGGAGAAATAGTGTGAAAAGTGACATTTTTACTGATAGAAATGGGCAGTTTCAATAGAAGGGAAACATGGGTAGCTGAATGGTTGGGTTGGGCATGCTGAGTGCGAAATCCATTCCTCTAGCCGTTCTGTTCATCTTTTTGGTGCTCCTGAACAACCCCTGGGCACCCACTGGTTATTAATTGTTTCTAATCACTTCTGTTTTATCTTTTATTATAAGATAATAATATTTTTCCCCTTTCACTCATCATTTTCTTTCTGTCCCCCATAGTTTCATTGTACTTTTTTTTTCTTTGTTGTACTTTAATTTGAACTTTTTCGCTTTGATATAGTTTGTACCAAATGTTCCTTTTCAAGTTAAACCAAGCAATCCATTACTCCCACAGTTGTATAGGGTGGACCTTTTAAGTCATCTTCTTACCAGAATAACCTGTCCGCTCTGTGCCTATCAAATCTTCTGTGTTTCACTTCTATTAAAAATGCAAAACTGATTTTTTTCTGAGTAAGAGAATAGCTTACTTTTCTATACCATTATTTATAGCAAAGTAGAATTGATTAAAGTAGGATTTAGAATTTCTTGGAAATAAGGTTGTTCTGTCCAGGAAGATTTAAATGGTTCTAATTTAGAGGTTTCGGGGGTTTTGTTTTGAAAAAGTTAACCGTAGGAGATCTAGCACAAGATGAGCGGTTCATTTCTGCCTCCCGATGGACTTTTCTTACTGTCAGCATAAGCATCTGGGTGGGCAGCAGATGGAGCTGCAGTGGGGTTGCTGTCCGACACCTGCCAGCTTGCGGAGCTCACATATTCTCGTTATAGCAATCATTTGATACTGGATCTGCCAGAGAATGTCCTAAAAATAAAGATGGGGCCAGTACAAGATTCATTTGATTTTACTCTTCATGGTCTGCCATGAGAAGTTTGGGTTTTAGGCTCAAAACTACCAAATAAAAACAATTTTGATGTTTTCTGCCTTCTGAAAAATGGGAGACTTTTTTCCCTTTGAGGATTGACCTAAGTAAATAAGTAGTTAGTAGATTTTTTTTTTGTAAGTGGACTTCAGCAGACTGCCTTTTTCTGCTTGGCTGTATTTTTATGTTTGGATGAGTGGAAAGATTCGATTGGTACTAGATACTTGTCTTTGAAGCAGTTTAGAGTAATTCTGCTGTTTTTCTGAGTTCATTGTCCATAACATTGTCTTAAATCTGAAGTAACTTCATCTCCTACAGCTGCAGAAAATAGACAACTCTAATAGAAAGCTATTAGATGACTTTCTGTAGAAAATACTGGTCAGAAATAGTATGGATAGTGATCTTTGGGGTTCCATTAAAGATGGTATAAAATAACACAGGGAGGGAAGTTTACATCGTGGTTACAAACATGGACTCTGGAATTGGTTAGACCTGGGTTCCAATCCTGCCTCTTCCGTTTGTAAGCTCTGTCTCCTTGGGCAAGGTATCTGTTCTTTTTGGGTGGACCTTAGATTCTTCATCTGTAAAATGGTATAATACCTATACACCTTACACAGAGTTGTGAGGATGAAATCGCCTAATTTGTCATGAATTCTGGTACATAATAAATCTTTAATAAATGTCAGCTGCTATTGATTAAAGGAGAGACTAACTCATTTCTCGTACATGTTGAGTGTGTCTATATAGGTATGTAATAAAACCACAGCCACTACTGTGAAGGACATGAGCTGGCAATTTAAGCCCTGGGACTGGTGATTTAAGCCCAGGGACTGGTGATTTAAGCCCAGTTGGTTCAAGTTCACTAGTAGAGGCAATGTACAAGGCAACTTGGTGACTGTAGGTGCTATTAATTGGGCAAGGTAATATGGGAGATAGAATATTTTTTGGAATATACTGAATTCCATTTGGCTATGGTTAAGTTGGTGGTTCTTGTGAGACAGGGAAAGAGATGTATTGGGCTGTTGGATATGTTGGTTTGGGCTACAGAGATTTGGGCATATCCAAGTAGAATATAGGCAGTAATGAAGTTTGTGCAGAGGTGGGTTCTTTTCTAAAGTGAAACTGTAGAGTTAGAACAATATCAAAAAGCAAACCTTAAGGAATGGCAAACTTTTCTTGTTTTTAATTTAATTTTTTTTCTTTTAAAGACAGGGTTTCACCATGTTGGTCAGGCTGGTCTTGAACTCCCAACCTCAGGTGATCCACCCGCCTCGGCCACCAAAGTGCTTGGATTACAGGCGTGAACCACCACGCCCGGCCGAGGAATGGCAAACTTTTCAAGAGGAGCCACACTGTGGAAGCAGTCTTACCGCCTCTGAAGCCAAGAGGCCATTGTCAAACTTGACAGGCATATCTTACTGACTTTTTGATGCACACACATTAGCTGTATCTTTGTTCTTTAGCTCGTTTGCTCTTAAGCTCAGTAAAAATTGAGAGTTATTATTTAATAAGGATGAGACTTAGTAAAGCATTTTGCAAATAGAGTATAATGTTCCTTGCATTCGTTGTACTCTTGGGTTCCTGAAATAATAGTCAGATAATACGTCTATCACTGTCCTCTCTACAATCCACATCGCTTTCCAAAATGGAAAAGATACTCCACGGAGAAAGTTTAGAAGAAGAAAATGAAATTGGAATAAGTAGAAGTCAAAGTGGCCTGTCCTCTGTAATTGCTTTTAGAGGTGACCTGGCAGTTCCTTATTTATGGGTGGGTATGGGGTATACATTGACCAAAGAAGATAGTTTAGGTGAGTTGCTGCCCTGTCTTTGAGAAAGGGATTCTTGGCTCTTAAAATTAGAAACAAGGAGATCAATGGGATGAAAAAGTAGCCTTCCCTTTTCCCCAAATTAAACAGATACACATACTTTGTGATAGAAATAGATTATGAAATATGGTGTCCAGATCAAACTGTCTGCTGGGCTTTTAAAAGCGTTTTATACTTTCTCCTGGGCACCTAGATTGCTTATTCTCACTTCTGTCTCCTTTTATTACCCACTTCAAACAGTTGTAATTTTTTTCCTTTCCATTCCTTAGACTTACCCCTGTTCCTTCCTCCACCCCCAAAATGGGAGAAGCCTTTAGCATTTAACTGTAGTACTTTATTTGGCTGTCAGTATTTGTCATATTAGTAATTGGATGAGCTTGGCTGGAGGTAGGGGGCTGTTCTGCCCTTTTTAAGATTGGCCCACACACCATTGTACTTAGCTACCCACACAGGAGCAGAGCAAGCTGGCTAGTTTTGAACACAAAAGCATGACAATTGTGGGTGGCAGCATCTATAGTTTTAGAATTTTTAAAGTAAGACAAATGAGGCCAGTGGAATAAACTTTACAACCGATAGAACTTTTGTTTCTGTTTTTCTTAACACCCAGCAATTAAAAATACTAAGAACAGGGATAAAGTGAAAATTAAGTTCTTGTATCTATTGCTTCTTGGCAAAACAAACACATCAAAAAATATCTGTTGGCTCTCAAATTGTTAATGGTTTCTGACCTGTGTGTTCTGAGTGATTTGGTGGAGTGAATGAGCTAGATCTTGGTTTTTCCACAAAGGATTGAAATTTGGTTCTTGGAGGGTGAAGAAACAAAACTTAACTCTTTATACGTAAAGCACAGATATACAGTATACTACATAAATATATATGTATTTCATCTGTGGTATCCAAATTTCATTGAGAAGTGGTAATTAAGGAAAAAATGTCTACAAGGGCATGGGGGGGGGGTGATGACGATTAATAAAAAGACCAAGACAGTTGGGTCTCTCCCCTTTAAGGAACTGTAGGACCTAAGTGTCTGTGTCGTGGAGAGGCTAGTGCCCCTTCTTTATTTTTCTCATCTCTAAAGCTGGCCTGAGGATGCTGAATGGTGTTACTATCTGAAGTGCTTCAGGAGTGCCAGCAGATACTCTTAGGATTGTTATGGTACAGTATATGTGGTTCTGACAGTTACCAGGAATATAAGCAATGTTTCGCTTTATATACTTCCCTTATGTTGGAGAGCCTAGCGTTGCATTAAACATGAGGGAAAAATTCTGAAAAAATACCAAGGGTGAGAAGTAATGAATATTATTTTAAGTTTTGTTTTTTTTTTTTAGCTAGAGAACATAGTGAGTTGGCCAGGCTGGTCTCAAACTCCTGGCCTCAAGCGATCCTCCCATCTCTCATTTAATAAGAGTTGCTCAGTTTAGTAATAGGTATCTAATGAGCATAATATATTTTGCTCATGAAATCATAATGTTTTCAGAGACACTAAAACTTAGTAAATTGGCAAAATTTTTCCCCCTAGTTTGGTGGGGAGTTTATTGGCCTGCATGTGTCAACCCCTCCCTGCCCCATGATTTTTAAGGATGGCTCCTTAAACTCTGTGTATGAGTATTTCCTTCATACCTCTGTTCAAGATGTTTGGTATTCTGCAAGTAGATAACTTAGTACTTTTGTAATATGATAAGCCTAGATATATGAGGGAAGTAGTGTTTCCTGATAAATTAAGCAGTTAGTTGTTAAGGAGATGATAGGACTTATGATGACATTTTTAAGAGTCAAGTGTTTGGACCTGTTTTTCTGAGGATTTCCCTGTCCTTCCCACAGCATAGGAGACCATCGTGACCTATTTTTCTGTCCTTAGACTGCCTGAAGGAAAGATGTGTGTTTGTATCTTTGCCACTTTGTGGTTTAGTTTGGTCCCTTGTCCTTGTTTAAGACAGGGTAGCAAAATGTTTTTGAGAATGATACAGATTTGAATTTGAATTGAATTGAATTGCAATTTTGCTCTTTATTAGCTGTATTTGTGGTCAAAACACCTGACCTCTTTGAGCCCTGGTTTGTTCATCTGTAAAATAAAAATACTGTCTCCGGGAAGGGTTGTTTTTAATACACACAGAAAGGATGTGTGATAGGTACACAATATATTATACCTTTTAAAAGTTTGACTTTAGGTTGGGTGTGGTGGCTGATGCCTGAAATCCCAGCACATTGGGAGGCTAAGGTGGGAGAATCACTTGAGGCCAGGAGTTTGAGACCAGGCTGGTCAATAGAGCGAGACTCCATCTCCAAAAAAAAAAAAAAAATTAAAATTAGCTGGGCATGGCAGCATACGCCTGTAGTTCTAACTGCTCCAGAAGCTGAGGTAGGAGTTGAAGGTTGCAATGAACTATTCATGCCACTGCACTCCAGCCTGGGTGAAAGAACAAGACCCTGTCTCAGAAAAACTTGGAAAAAGTTTAAAGTAAAAAAGAACATAGCATTATAGGACTCTTATTTTACAAGGGATTACCTGAGCCCAGAGAAGTCAAGTGGCCAGAGAGCAAGGTTAGCAGGAGCAGCTGGGCCCATGCTGCCAGGTCCCTGTGTGTTTTTTGCCCCACAAACCTTGCTTTTGTATTATTTAGGTCACTCCTTACTATACAGACAAACGTGGTAATGGTGGTGTTTTGCCCTGCTGAGTTTGACCTCAGTTGAATCAGTACAGGATTACATTTCTGTGAGTTCTTTAGTTCTATGGAAGCCTTCTAAAATCAGATGATTACCTTGCCTGCATTTGTGACTTCAGTTACTAGGCTTTATGACAGAAATGTAGATTGGAAAATCTTCTAAAATCCCATCTGGTCCTTTGATTTTTATGTGTGAAGGGCTTAAAATTACCAGGAATTGTTCCAGACACATAGAAAACTAGTCCCTGTTGTCCAGAATTATCTTTCTAAGATAGTAATGGGGGGTACTAAACTTGCAATCTGTTGAAAACATATTTTTGAGATTTCAGTTATTGAAGCATTTGCTTATTGTGAATAAGAAGAAAACTAAGCGGCCAGGCGCGGTGGATCACGAAGTCAAGAGATCGAGACCATCCTGCTCAACATTGTGAAACCCCGTCTCTACTAAAAACACACAAAAAATTAGCTGGGCATGGTGGCACGTGCCTGTAATTCCGGCTACTCAGGAGGCTGAGACAGGAGAATTGCCTAAACCCAGGAGACGGAGGTTGCGGTGAGCCAAGATCACGCCATTGCACTCCAGCCTGGGTAACGAGCGAAACTCCGTCTCAAAAAAAGAAAAAGAAAACTAAGCCTAAAAAATCTTTATAATCACATTTCCACATTTACATTTGGGAGGTCATTTATCATTTCTTCTTAATTTTAATGTTTAAGCATATTAGAGATGAGATCTCACTATGTTGCCCAGGCTGGTCTCTAACCCCTGACCTCAAGCAGTCCTCCCACCTCAGCCTCCCAAATTTCTGGGATTACAGACATGAGCCACCATGCCCAGTCTCTCTCTCCCTTTTTTTTAAAGACAGAAAGAACTAGAATACTTTTGTAAAATACCAGTTTTTCCAACATTTATCTTTCCAAGACAAGTCAAACACTTATTGAATGCCCCTGAGTATATGCCAAGATTAATAGATGAGGCTATTACCCATAAGTAGTTCAATTTAATAGAGAAAAGAGTATATTGAGACAGGTATACAAGGTTCAGTGGTGGAAAGAAAGTGATCCTTAAATTTGGTTTTGAGTTTGCCATTTTAGGCAGAGAGAACAACGTACACAAGTGTGAAAATCATAAAACATTCTTGCAGTTGGGAAACTGCAGGTAGCTTTTGTGTTGTTGAAACTTGGAGTTCAAGGCAGGTGATGACAGAGACGGGCAGGCGAATACTGGGGAGTTAGGCAAGGGCTGGGCTGTGGAAAGCTTTGTGTTCAGTGCTAAACTGCTCACACCAATCTGAAATTCCTTTTTTTTTTTTTTTTTTGAGACAGGGCCTCACTCTGTCACTCAGACTGGAGTGCAGTAGCATGATCATAGCTCACTGCAACCTCAAACTCCTGGACTCAAGTGATCCTCCTGCTTCAGCCTCCCAAGTAGCTGGGATTACAGGCATGTGCCACCATGCCTGGCTAATTTTTGTACTTTTTGTAAAGATGGGTCTTGCTTTTGTTGCCCAGGCTGGTGGTCTTGAGCCCTTGGCTTCAAGCAGTCCTCCTGCCTTGGTAGGAGTGTGCTAGATTACATGTATGAGCCATCAGCTATTTGGAGACAATTTAATCAAAATAGTATTGTCTGGTTTTTTTTTCTTTTTTGGGATGGAGTCTCACTCTGTCACACAGGCTGAAGTGCAGTGGCACAATCTCTACTCACTGCAACCTCTGCCTCCCGGGTTTAAGCAATTCTCCTGCCTTAGCCTCCCAAGTAGTAGCTGGGTTTACAGGCATGTGCCACCACACCCAGCTAATTTTTGCATTTTTTAAAAATAGAGACAGAATTTCACTATGTTGTTCAGGCTAGTCTCGAACTCCTGACCTCAGGTGATCCGCCCACCTCAGCCTCCAGGATTATAGGTGTGAGCCACCGCCCTGGCCTGTTATTCTTAATGACAGTTTGTTGGTGTTAACATGTTTGTCCGTTTTAGGATAATGCCCTGAATATAGAGAACTAAACACTCAGCACTCAAAGGTAATGGAGAATGAGCATGCTACTGATAAACAATGGAAAGAGGCTAGAATGCAGCTTCAATTGGATTTAAAACAAACAAACAACACATTCCACCCATAGTGTAGGAGATATTTAGTAACATGAATTAGATTGTTAAAACTCTAGTCAAAATGTTAAATATTTGAATTTTTTTCTAACAATTTACATAAAATGCAACTCAGAATCAATTTTAACAGGCCTTGTGGCCACATTTTTGGTTTAAATATTTATTTACTTAGCTATTTTCTTCTATACTTGTGTGGGCAGTGAACCTAATAATTAAGTTAAAGGGTAAAAAAAAAATCAATTCCAGAGAGCTCACCTTTGACAAACATAGCAAACCAACACCATCATTTAGATTAAATCAATAGTCATTTCAGGCTAGATGTGCTGGCTCATGCATGTCGTCTGCAGCCCTACCTCCCAGGTTCGAACGAGTCTCTTGCCTCAGCCTTCTGAGTAGCTGGAACTACAGGCATATGCTACCACGCCCGGCTAGTTTTTGTGTTTTTAGTAGAGACGGGGTTTCTCCATATTAGCCAGGCTGGTCTCAAATTCCTGACCTCAGGTGATTTACCTGCCCCAGCTTCTCAAAGTGCTAGGATTACGGGCATGAGCCACGGTACCCAGCCTGCCTCATTTTAAACATGAACAGACCATCAAGGAGCACCAGGTATTTGAGTAATGGAATATTTGGGCCATTGAAGGATTTTAAGCCAAATGATGTGGCAGTCCAACTTTAAAAGAACACAACTTGATTGACTGATTGAGATGGAGTTTCGCTCTTGTTGCCCAAGCTGGAGTGCAATGGCGCAATCTCAGCTCACTGCAACCTCCACCCCCTGGGTTCAAGCAATTTTCCTGCCTCAGCCTCCTGAGTAGCTGGGATTACAGGAGCTTGCCCACCACGCCCGGCCAATTTTTTGTATTTTTAGTAGAGATGGGATTTCATCATGTTGGCCAGGCTGGTCTCGAACTCCTGACCTCAGGAGGCCGTGGCCTCTCAAAGTGCTGGGATTACAGGTGTGAGCCACCGCACCTGGCCAACAACTTAATTTTTTTCAGAACAATTTTAGAGTGATAGAGAAGTTATATGAAGAGTTCTCATATGCTCCACATTCACTTTTCCCTATTACTAACATTATGGCATATTTGTTATAATTAATGAACCAATATTGATACGTTAGTATTAACTAAAGTTCATACTTTATTCGATATTTCCTTAGTTTTTCCCAGTGTCCTTTTCTATTCTAGGGTCCCATCCAGCACACCACATTATACCTAGTTACATGTCTTTCCAGACTTCTCTTGGCTGTGACATTTCTGGCTTACTGCATCAGTGTAGAGTGACAAAATAAAATTTAAAAAAAACAAAAAACATTTCTGGCTTGCATTTTAATGATGCTAATTCTGGTTACAGGATTTAGAAGATTCTGATGGTAGCAAAGTGAAAACAATGAGATGGTTAGGAAGCCCCTGCATTAATCCAAGGAAGAGATAATGATAGGTTGGATCAGACTGATAGTGGTAAAAGTGACAAGTGTTCCATTTGGGGATGTTATAAAAGCCATGAGCCTGGATGGGAAAATTAAAGGAATGAGTATAGATGGAGAAGAAAAGCATTCCAGGGATGGAGCCCTTGGGGCACTTTACGGTTTAAAAGTTAATGAGGTAAGAAACTAGCAAAGGACACCCAACAAGAAGTGGCCAGTTAGGTAGGAAGAAAACCTGGGAAATGATGTGTCTTGGAAGCCAAGAAAGTGTTTCAAGGTGGAGGAAATAATCACTTCTGTTTTGCCCTGCTTATAGGCCAAACCAGATGAGGGCAGTGAATTGATCTCTGGATTTCTCAGCAGCTGATTGGTGGCCTTCAGTAGTTTCAGTCGAGTGGTAGGAGCCGAATCATGCTTGGACCTGGTTCAGAGAGGAGGGTATGCACAGGGAAAGCCGTATGAGGAAACTTGCTATGGTGATAGATATGTTCTGTATCTCAAAGGTAGTAGAAATGCAAATTATATCCGAAAACTAATATTTATGAATGAATGAATGATAGGGTCTTGCCCTGTCACCTAGGCTGGAGTACAGTTATGCAATCGTTGCTCACTGCACGCTTAACCTCCTGGTCTCAAGCGATCCTCCTCACTCAGCCTTCCACGTCCCAAGGTGGGACTGTAATGTTGGGGTTCAGGGGCTTAGGGAGCCCTCAGCTTCCCTGAGAGGATGTTTCTTCAGGTTCTTGGTCTGTCACTCCCCAAGAATGGGAAAGGAGACCACAGCACTGTGCTCAGTAAATTCCAGACTCAGAAGTGTTTGTAGAAAGTGATTTATTTAGCGCCGGGCGCAGTGGCTCACGCCTGTAATCCCAGCACTTTGGGAGGCCGAGGCAGGTGGATCACGAGGTCAAGAGATCGAGACCACCCTGGTCAACATGGTGAAACCCCCGTCTTTACTAAAACTACAAAAAATTAGCTGGGCATGGTGGTGCGTGCCTGTAATCCCAGCTACTCAGGAGGCTGAGGCAGGAGAACTGCCTGAACCCAGGAGGCGGAGGTTGCAGTGAGCCGAGATCGCGCCATTGCACTCCAAGTAACAAGAGCAAAAAACTCCGTCTCAAAAAAAAAGAAGAAAGTGATTTATTTGGATAAAGAGAAAAAGGAGAAGAGAAAAAACTTCCATGAAGAGCATGTGGAAGGAGGACCCCAGAGGGGAAATCCAGGAGGGGAAAGAGAGCTCCCACTGTGTGGGAGGGGATTCCAGAGAGCTGGAAATCCGGTGTGGGTGAAGGAGCAGGGGAATTTATCCTGGGAGAAGTTCCCACCTCCCCAAGTTCCTCTGGCCAATGAAAGGAGTCCTTTAGAACTTCGCTGGAGTGATTGACTTTTTGATATTTCCTGCACCCTCGAAAATTAAAACAGAGACTGTTAAATCTCCTGATGGAGAGTGATGGGAGGGGGACATGGCGCTGGGAAGTTCTTGCCATTAAAACTACGCCCCTTGTGGACCCAGAAAGAGAACACGTTCCGTCAGGACCACAGGCACGAACCACCACACCTAACTAATTTTTAATTTTTTTGTAAGGAACAAGGTTTCACCATGTTGCCTAGGCTGGTCTTGAGTTCCTGGGCTCTAGCGAACCTCCTGCCTTGGCTTCCCAAAGTGTTGGAATCACAGGCATGAACCACTGTACTCAGCGCAAATATTTAACTATAGGTAGTAATATGTATACTGAAGCATTTAGGGGAAAATGCACTCATATCTGTAACTTTGAAATGCATTAAAAATTAAGATAGATTGGACCGGTTGCAGTGGCTCACTCCTGTAATCCTAGCATTTTGGGAGGCTGAGGCAAGTGGATTGCTGAGCTCAGGAGTTCGAGACCAACCTGGGCAACACAGTGAAACCCTGTCTCTACTAAAATACAAAAAAAAAAAAAAAAAAAAAAAAAGCTGGGTATGACAGCATGCACCTATAGTCCCAGCTACTCAGGAGGTGGAGGTTGCAGTGAGCTGAGAATACATCACTGTACTCCATACTCCAGACTAGGCAACAGAGTAAGGCTCCATCTCTTAAAAAAAAAAAAAAAAAAGACCAGATTCAGTGGCTCACACCAGTAATCCTAGCACTTTGGGAGGTCCAGGTGGGCGGATCATGAGGTCAGGAGTTCAAGACCAGCCTGGCCAACATGGTGAAACTCCATCTCTACTAAAAATAGAAAAATTAGCTGAGCATGGTGGCAGGCGCCTTAA